AAAATTTTAAATTTTCAAAAAAGTATCAGGAGAGCATGGAAATCGAGGAGGCATTCACTGAAATAGAAAAATTTTAAATTTTCAAAAAAGTATCAGAAGAGCATAAAAATCGAGAAGGCATTCACTGAAATAGAAAAATTTTAAATTTTCAAAAAAGTATCAGAAGAGCATGAAAATCGAGGAGGCATTCACTGAAATAGAAAAATTTTAAATTTTCAAAAAAGTATCAGGAGAGCATGAAAATCGAGGAGGCATTCACTGAAATTGAAAAATTTTTAATTTTCAGAAAATAAAACCCGCCCCGTCGACTGATCCCTCTGACAGCGGGATTACTACTGAGGCAGTTACCGACTCGGCTGACGGGCAGACACCCCACCATTGGATGCGCCCCCCTCTTTCTCTTGGGGTAAGGTACTATAATGCCGATAGGGTCACTCAAACCCCCACTGAGCGACTCAGTCCTGGGGGGGGTACTGCACCCCAAGAGAAAGAGGGGGCCGCTCCCAATGGTGGGGTGTCTGCCCGTCAGTCGACTCAGTAACTGCCCCAGTAGCAGTCCCGCTGTCAGGGACCAATCGACTGGGTGAGTTTTATTTTCAGAAAATTTAAAATTTTTCAATTTCAGTGAATACCTCCTCAATTTTCATGCTCCCCTGATACTTTTTGGAAAATTTCTAATTTTTCAATTTTAGTGAATACCTCCTCGATTTTCATGCTCCCCTGATACTTTTTGGAAAATTTCGAAATTTCAAATTTCAGTGAATACCTCCTCCATTTTTATGCTCCTCTGATACTTTTTTGAAAATTTTTCATTTTTTCAATTTTTCACCCCCATTGCGTGTGACGCCCTCCCTCTCTTGGGGTAAAATACTACGATGCCGCTGGGGTCACTCAAACCCCCAGAACTGAGTCTCTACTCCAGTCAATCCTCTTTGGGAGGTAGCGTCGTGTCATCCCCTGGGAGAGATGGCGCTTTCATACGCTTTTCTCAGGCCCAGCTGGCGGGGCCTCATTCAAAATTTTCGGGATCAACTAATTAATCTTCTATCGAGAATTCAATTTAAAATTCTGATTTTTTTTATTTATTCATGACTATTGAAAACTGCTGATGACTCCTCGGAATTTTAACGAGAAAATGTTTCGAGTTTCTTGGGAGGTGAAAATTATCTTGACGAACTAGAGATGATAATAAAATTAATTTTCTCGGAGAGGAGAGGAAAATAAGAAGGCACTAGGAATTGAATAAAATTCCTATTCTTAAAATAATCTATTTATTCAAAATTTGATAGAATCCTCACACCTTTACTGTCCTATTTGGTCAATGGCAAAATAACGAATTTGAAATCCTTTGTGATCGGTCTTCTCCTTGCTCCTGAACTCGACCTCGGTGACGGATGACTTGCTGAGGAAGGAAGTGGGTAAGTCGTTTCCACAGTATTTTCCGAGGATTGCCCTGGTCCCATTAGAAGAGATCTCAGTAAACTGGACATAGTCATCAGCACAGGTCTCGTGCCAGGCGATATCAAAACTTACGAATCCTATGGTAAGGGCTTTACCCGCTCCCACGTGAATCGTCCACTTGCACTTAAGATTGGGTGGATAAGTGGTTCCAAATCCAGGACTCTCAATGATTCCCTTCTCCTCCAGAAGACCTCCACATTGGGTATTAAGGGTACGATAGACCGCGTGAAAGCCATGATGTATCTCGAGAGGCCTCTCAAAAATTATTTTAATCGTCAAGTAATTTGCACTCGAATTAAATATACGGGAGGGTATGTAGTACTTTGCGTCACATATTGAGGCGATAAGTGTTGAGTCTTCGTCTTCTCCGTCGTAAATATTCAAACGGTTGTAGCAGGTTTCATTGTCCATCGTGATGTGGAGATCTGTCAGGCTAAATTGAATCATTTTTCCCAGTGGTTGAATTATTTTGTAGGTGCAGGTAAAGGGGAGGGAATTGCCGTAGAGATAATTTGGTGATGCTATCACACCCGAGGGATCGGTCAGCTTCTTGGAGCAGGTTGAGATCGCGTTCGGGTTGTCCAGGGCCTTCCACATGAGTTGAAAGGAGTTGGAGGTGCCTGCAGTCTTGGATTCCGCGGTATTGTTCGTTTGGAAGCGGATTCGGGCTGATGAGGTCGTGGTTAGAATCGGGGATGGAATTGAGCTGTTGCAGAAGAGGCCAAGACTCTTCGTGGTGGAATTTACTGTCTCGTTTATCGAGAGACTGTTCGAGCAGGAGTTCAGGGCGTTGTGTAGCGTTAGATGGCTGACGGAAAAATGTATAAATTTTGTTGGTGGTAGATTTATCGTCCAGGTGCAGTTCTCCGATGAAGCTAATGTGTTCGCCGACGAGATCGTGCCCTGATCACCTGTCAACGATAGCTCGCACTTGCTGCAAGGCGATTTTCATGTTTAGTTTCGGAAGGCGAGGGCGGCCGCAGGATATTTTCGATGGGGAGGGAAATACGGAAAATCTTGTGGGACCTTTTTTGGAGGAAATTTTTAGGGTTGTGTAAATGATTTTATCACTTTTTTTGGTAGGATGCTTTTTTTTCGATGTATTCGAGGATTTGTGGAGAGATGCTTTTTTTTTAATTTTGGAAGGGGAGAATGGTTTGTACGGAATATCGGAAGATCTGTTGGAGATACCGAAATTTGTGTAGAACATTTTTTGTAGATATTGAGGAGGGCTACAAAAAAGGTCCCATTGAGATTTCGCTATCTCTTGAGAGTTCCGGGATGTTTAACAACTTGTAAAACTGAAAATTTAGATTATTACTCAAATATTAATTGTGTAGTTTACCTGGGTAATTCTGGTGCCACTTGTGCATCAGCACTGAAAAGAGACAGTGCAATGATGAGAAATACGAAGATCTTCATCTTGGATCGGGATTAATCGTTAAACCATGAAATTTTATTGTAGATTAATTATTTGAAAATATGATACACTGTACTCTCGTGCTCTTATCAGACGCAAACTGAGCGAATAACGCTGGGTTCCTTTTATAATATGTCATGAATTGCGACCGGTGATTTATCGGTCAGATGGATTCATTCAGAGGACTATTATGTTATTGAATTCGAAACGTGAACATTGTAAGGAGTGTTGACCATCAATGTAGAGAATAAAGAATCCGCAGATTGCGTAGATTGCATGAATTAATAGAGTGGTCGGACGATTCGTCGTAATAGTGGTGCAATGAACCTCTAGTAGCTGCTAGAATGTTCGCTAGGTACGTGGGGGAATTATTTATATGAAAATTGGAATCTAAGACCTTCTCTCAATGGAAATAATTTTTTTCCGTATCCCATTATCGCGATACCGAGTTAATTCACAAGAAAATGCGTCGAATATAATTTATGGAAAATTTTGTCGGCTACAAAAAAGGTCCAGTACATTTTTCTTCTAGGAGAACCGGTAACAAGATAATTGCAGGGTAAACAGACGTACAACGATGGATAACCGTTTTATTACGTTTCATAAATTGAAACGACTTATTGTGCGATCATCTCGGTATTGAGAGGTTTTTCAAAAAAAATGTTGAGGAACTTTTTTCTAGGAAATTTTCTCAGCTGGAAAAAAGGTCGTATAACAATTTGTCATAAATTCACTCATTACCGAGATAAACAATCGAATGATCGTCGTAAATCGAAGATCCAGATTTTTAGAAATTTGAAAAAGTCCTTGTTGCCGCCCTGCGCTATCGGTAAAATAATTTTCTCTTTTCACCACCATTTTTAAATACCCGGTTGTATAGTCAGACCGTTGACATGTGCTCCTCGTAAATAAAAACAAGTGGAGTAGCTCGATTAGATAAAAAAATATCAACGATAAACACAATCACCCTTCATTTTCCATCGAACGAGACGAGTGACTGCATCCAAATATCACCGATTTTCCACTCTGATTTTTTTTAGAGTACACCCTTACCTGGAAATATGGAGAATCAAGCCATCGATATTGAGATCTGTCAAAAAAACGAGAGGTAATTAATTTATAATTTTTTAACGATAACTTTTTGATATTGACGAGTGATTTTGGCGTCCAGCACTCTTCAGACAGATGGAATTCCCGAGCTGGTCTACCTAGAGCTGATGAATTTGGAGCATGTGGACATCGACATACCAATTTCCCTAGAAAACTCAACGAATGAAATTTTGAAGGATCACGTCTCTTTTATTAGCTGTTCGTTGAGGAGACCTGGAAAGGTAACCTAAATTCGGAGACTTTAATATCCTGGGAGAACCTCCATTACCCAATTCGCATCCCATCATTATCCGCTCCAATTTCTGTGCAATGTAGGATAATAGAGAGAAAATCTCGATTAGTGACTGCTGCAGCTTCAGATACTTCGTCTACAGGCTAGCCCTGGAGGAGGCAGCCACGGAGACGATGCAGTCAGACTCCCAGGAACTTCCAGTGGCTTCCCACTGGCTCCTTCCTGCAAAAGAATTCAATGGGGTGTGGGAAAACCTCTGTTACACGTCCAGTGTCAAAGAAAATGTATGGCGAGCACTTTATTATTATTCCTGAAGACTTCAACCACATCTTTGAATAATCTTGAGATTATTCCATGTGAAATTAAGTGGCTGATTGATTTTTTAGCTGTTGAATTTCATTGAAACAACGATGCTCTTCGCAGACAGGAATATAAATCCCAACATCATCACCTGGAACAAAGTTGTTCTCCTCCACGGACCCCCAGGCACTGGAAAAACTAGCCTGTGCAAAGCGTTGGCCCAAAAAGCAGCAATTCGATTGAATGCACATTTTTCCAGGGGAGAACTCGTCGAAATAAATAGCCACAGTTTATTCTCCAAGTGGTTTTCTGAGGTACTCCTGATAATTACATAATTATTTTGAAAATCAGTGGTTTTTGGGAAAACTTGATTCGACCTTTTATGTTACTGAGGAAATTTTCCACAATACATGTTCTCTAAAATTTTCTGTTCAGGCAGCAGATCTCGACATAATTCCGAGGAGAGATTGAAAAAAATTATTTTTGTGTGGTTTTTATTTTTTTTTTTAGAGTGGAAAATTGGTCATGAAGTTGTTCAGTGAAGTGAAGCTGCTCTTGGAGAACCCTCAGACCCTCGTTTGCATTCTGATTGACGAGGTGGAGTCCCTGGCACATGCCAGGAAGTCGTGTACCAGTGGTACGGAACCTAGTGATGCCATCAGAGTTGTTAATGCACTTCTGACGCAATTAGATCAAATGAAACGATATAAGAATGTTCTTGTGTTGACCACGAGTAATGTGACGGAGGCGATAGATCTGGCATTCGTGGACAGGGCTGATATCAAACAATTTATCGGGCATCCAGAACCGAAAGCTATTTATCAGATTTATTCGTCATGTTTGAAAGAGCTGATGAGAGTAATTAAATTTCTAATAAATCCCGAAATATCTTCAAAACTCTTGGATCTAGAGGAAATCGTCATAAGACTTTTTTATGGGAAATTTAATTTTCTATAAAAAAGTCATTTGATGTTTTTGTCTGAAACCAATTGTTGTGGAGATATTAATCCGGAGAATTGAACTGGACTCAACTTGATTTTTTTATCTGCAGACGAAATTCCTGGAGCCTTTCGAGATTCTACCCTGGGAGGTATACGATTGCATCGGGGACGTGCCAGACCCGATCTACGAGTGCATATCATCGAACGGAAAAACTACAGTGAAATTTCGTAATTTAATTTACAAGAGTGTGGGCCTCAGCGGTCGGGCCCTGAGAAAAGTTGCCTTCCTGGCACATGCGTTGTTCACTAACAATACTGAAGCCTCCGATTTCGACGACTTCCTAGGTGCCATGATGATGGCCGTGGATAAACAGAAGGAAGACGAATTGCAATTATAAATTTGGTGATCTTTTTATCAAAGATTAATTGATTAATCATCATTTATTTTTATATCGATCGTATATAATATAGGATAATGCCAATCTATTAAATTAAAATCTCAATTTTTAACTTTTTTACAACTGCTACACTATTTTCCTCGATGTATTTACAATTAAAAAAAAACTATCTAAATTTATAAATTTCGTTTGAATGAATACCAAAAAGTCCTTCTACCGATTCAAACCTCCCGCCGCGCGCCGGCGCCCCCTCTCGCCCTCAACCCGCACCCCAACCTCAAACCCAAAAAAAAAAGAAATAAAAAAACAATAAAAACCAGTCCAGTTCTGGAGAGCAGCCGTCTCGCCACCGGAGGCTCCCGAAATTCCAAAAAAAAAATCACAGCCCCTCCGAGAAAATCAAAACCCCCCAGTGTCCCCCAAAACTCCCCAAAATTGTAAAATCTTTCCCTCAAAAGTAAAAAAAAAAACCGCGATGTGCCCCAGAGAACAAACAGTGCAGCCCTCGGTGCAGCGTGACACAACCCCCCATTCCCTCCCACCCCCAGAGTGACCCCCCAAAACCCCCACCCTCTACCCCCTCAACCCCATCTCGACCCCCAAAAAATTCCCCAAGTGTCAAAACACTCGACCAGAGAAAGAAAATTTCCAAAATAAATCCCTCCGCCCTTTTTTTAAAAACGGTATCAAAACCACCGGAGAAAAACCAAAAAAGCCCCAAAACCAAGTGCTCGATCTCATAAACTCCCATTGTAGTGTGTGTAGTTGGTGTAGTTGCAGTTTGTTGGACGGCCATTTTTACCACACGATGCGGCAACCGTGCGTGCCCGTTCGATCCGCCATTCCAAACAATCGGTGTACGTGCCCTCTACTCGTTAAAAAATTTTACATCAACAACAATTGTTGGAAAAACTTAGTGGGCCCCCCCTCGACGTGAAAATATAACAGGCCCACAACAGCCACCCATCCCCTGGGTAAAAATCGATAGACCCGTGAAAAAAGAATAAGTGGTAAAAATTGACAGTTGGATTCTGCCCTGGACCCTGGGGTCACAGCACGTCTCCAGAAGGAGAAAAAAAAAGAAAAGAGAGAAGAGAGAAAGGAAAAATCAGTGAGTGATAAGTCAAGGGGTTGGTGATGGATTCAGTGGTGGGATAGGGGTGAATTGAGGTATTTTATTTTGTGATGAGAGGAGTGGATGGAGGATGGGACAAAATGGAGCGTTGGGAACGGTGAGCCATCGTCAAGGTGCGTACGTGCGTACAATACGTATGCACGTACGTACAGAGGCCTGAATCGCGCGTACTCTAGGCCCTCGTATCGAGGAGAAGACGCGTGAATTAACTCCAGGGATTCATGAATTTTTAGTCAATTTTTACTGATCAATTTTGTGATTTTTCATTGTGATTTTTTGGCCATTTTCTTTCCCTTTTTTTTATCGTTTCTGTGGTTTTTTCGCTCGGCTGAGGTGGTGAGAAAAGGTAGAACGCGTTTTATCGGGCGATCGATGAGGCAAACTCGGGGGTTTTGTGGTGATTGCACTGGGGAAAGTGATATTTACGAATATTTCGGGGTAGTTTTTGGGGTGTGTTTTATTTTGGGGAGTGTTGGGCCTCAGGAATATGCTGATGCAGAGGATTTGTTTGGGTGTTTGTGGATTGTTGGGAGATCGATGTGACTGGTGACGAGAGTTGAATCTCGGGGGTATTGGGTACCTGGACAATGGAGATCGAGGTTAAACAGAGGAATAGCCAGAGGAACAGGCGGCGCGAGAGGGCACAGAGGATTCTCGCGCAGAGGGAGAGTTTGGCTAGTGCTAAGGGAAATTGTAATCATTCTCATCAGGTGGGTCGGGGGCCAGGGGATGATGAGGATAGTCACAGTGGTGAGGAGGAGGAGCAGTTGGGGCTGTCCAGGGCTAGCAGGGAGGGACAGAGGCCTGCTAGGCCACCTAGACCTCACAGGCCCAGGAAGAAGGCCACCATTGCTGGCGGTGGCAAGGAACCACCTTTCGAGGAGGACATCATCGATGGATTCGCCATTCTTGCGTTTCGGAGTTATGAGGACCTCGAGGTAATTTTTTACTAAAGGATTTAGATCGACAGGAAACCGAGATATGGGAAAATGTATCAGGCATTTTTTCGGCCAAATTTCACCAGCTCCAAAAAAGTATTCTTCAGTTTTTTGGTGCTGCTGGAGGGTTCGGAGATATTGATGGAATTGTGGTGGAGAGTAGAACTGGGGGACTGGGGGTTTTGCAGATCACTGTGATTTATTTTTGGCGGATAGCGCCGCAGGGGGGAGAGATACTGAAATCTCCAGAGGACCTTTCTTTTTGCCCGGGAAATTGTCCAGTGAAAAGTTCTCTGGGGTTTTCTGGTATTGTTGAGGGGTTTGGAGATATTCGTGGAGGTCTGATTGGCAGCAGTGGACATTTCGAGGTTTTGAAAATTGTTGGGAGTTTGTTTTTGGCGAATAGCACCGCTATCGGGGGAGATACGTTAATTTTTTTAAGGCACTTTTTTGTTGCGAGGGAAATTCTCTGTGGAAAATTCAATTTGAAGATCTTTGGTGGTCCAGTGGTTATCAGAATAATTGAGGAGTGAGATGACGATTTTTTGATGATATGAAAACTGGGGGAGGAAATGGAACTTGATACCAGTGTTTTTCATCGGAAATTTCCCTGGCTGTCCAGACATTGAATGGGGGGATATTCCTCTCAAGATATCAGGGAAAATGTAAATAAACGATTTTTTCGGGGGGATTGAGAATGTTTCATGAGGTTTTATTAGTTATTTTTGGAGATGAGGGAGGGAATTGGTCGTGGGGGGTTTTATTTTTATTCACTCCCTCTTGACTCAGTCTTGATACTACTCGAGATACTTCCAGGGACAAAGGAATAAACATTTATTATCATTTCACCCCACTCAGACATTCATAATCTCAATAGAATCACAGAATCGTTCCTGATTTTATCGGAGAAGTGAGTGGCTATTAATGGTAGATAAGACTGGATTACATGGTGGATCGGTTGGTGACAGCTTGAGAGACAACATCTTTCAGATTATGATTGTTATCGAGTGATCTCAAACGATTTCACCATCTCTAAACGATTAGTTCAGTGAGATAGGAAATTTCTATTTTTTTCATCCAGTTAAATATCAATTATTTCGAGAACAACTCATATGGGAGAAAATTTTGTTTGACCTTTCTTGGAAAAAATTCCATCAGCTACAAAAAATGTTTGATAATTTTTTTCTTTAAAGTCAGTCGTCAAGGGATACCATCATACAAAGAAACGAGAAATCTTGTTCATTACGGTAATTAGGTTGTAATTGATTTCAATTGATCCATAATTCAATTTTATTTCATTCACGATGATTCCGCCACTCAAGCCTCCATTACAATAATTTTACAGCCATAAAATCTGACATATAGAATTTCTCCTCAATTAAATACACCAGTATTTACCTTTTCCTCTCATTCATGTTTTTCATCTTGAACACCAATTATCTGGAGAATGAGACCTCTGCGAAAAAACCTTATATGATCTTTTTCCTCCAGAATTTCATCAGCAACAAAAACTGTCTTATGACTTTTTTCCCCAAAACCACTCGTTTCCAAGATACACGCGGGACAAAGAAACGAGAAATCGCGTTCGTTACGATAATTGCTCTCTAATGAATTTCAATCGATCCATAATTCAATTTCATTCCATTCACGATGATTCCACCACTCAAATCTTCATTACAATAATTTTACAACCATAAAATCTGACAGATTGAATTTCTCCTTAATTAAATTTACCAGTATTTACCTTTTCTCCTCATTCTTTCTAATTTATTTAACTTGTTATTATTCCACCGATGACTCTGAGATTCCGGAACAACTGGTTATCTACTCGTACTTTTTTCCCCCTCTGACATCTCTCTCTCTCTTGCACACATTTCTCGCTTCCAAGAATGTAATTTCTGTTCTCAAACAATTTTTAGGTTTTTTTTCCCCCTGGTTTTTTTTATTTTATTTCAACTGTTGTCCCTCTCCGGCTGTTGTATCCAGAGGTTCCTTTTTGCCACTGGGAGATGGGACAGCCGATCCTTTATACTTCTTTCTACCATTTTCTATCCTTTCTCGACTTGCAACCATCTCCGCCCCATTTCAGTCTCAGGAGTTTCTCCAGTTTATATGACATGGTTTATTAGAGTTGCAGTGAATTGATTCTTTCTTTTTTCCTCCAGTTCATTTTTTTTTCCCACCCATTCTCTTCGGCTTTTACTGACCCTTTTCGTGGAGTTTTCACGAGGGGGTGGTACCTGTTTATTTGCACTGACGTTTTTTCGTGGTGAGGGTAAACAGAAAATAAAGTGGCAATTGGAGATGTATCGCGTGCACGTCATGCCACTGTTATATTTTATTAGTTGCTATTCATTCCACTGAGGGAATTTTGCAGATTGAATCGTTTTACAAAAAAGGCCCAGAAGAATTTTTTATAAAGAATATAATTCTCTAGAGAAAAGTCCTTCGACATTTTTTTATGGGACCAGTACTTTCGAAGATGCACAGTGAATTTTATCTTGGGATTTTTTTCACCCGTTTTTTTTTCCTGTTCTAATGACCCGGACTCATCGGGACATAATTAATTCATAATTACGTAAACAGGTACACGAGAAACTTCAATCAGTCGATAAATTCTATCCATAATGGATGATTGAATACATTCAATTAGACTTACATAATTAATCTCACACCGGCAGGGAAAAAAAGCCTCGGAAATTTTCCTCACTGAAAGACCAAGCGGATTCCACGAGATATTTCCAATAAATTCTGTGAATATCTAAATTCTACCTGCCAGGCTTGCATAATACATCTCAATCGTGTGAATTAGTATTCCAGGCAATTAAATCATCACCTCGACGACAGATAATTGCCCCAAAATCGAGAGAAATTCATCACCTGACTCGTTATAATCTTGAATTATTAATTCAATGGCATTTCTGATCGAAGAGATTAAAATCATTCAGTATTTAATTTCCATTCAGTCATTGCAGTCTTCACCAAAAATTCGTAACAGGTGAATTGATTCAAAACATGAATTATAAAATTGAAAATCAAATTAATTACTATCAGATCTGATTTTTTCTAGAATACCGAAATATCCGGCGAATTAATTGCTGAATAATCCTAATGACTAGTGATTGCTCGTGGAGAAGAGATCTCCCCAATTACTCCCACAGGAGTCAGGATAGGGAAGTAAATTGTGCGGAACGTCAAAAAATCGATAATTTTATTGGTCGAGGGGATGGGGTACATTATGTGTTTAGTTTGGAGCGCTTACAGCTGATTAATACGACAGATCATCCGTGTTATGTATCCCTCGGTCAACTCCTCCCCCTGTTCCTGCAATTGGTAGTTTTGATTAGAGCACGCGCCACAGTATCATATGGCCATCTCGACCCACACATTTGCAGACCATTATGTCCGAAAACATGGGGTGAATGTAGTTGAAACCTGGTGTACTCAACAATGTGGCAACGTTGTAACTCGCATGGGTTTCTTGGTGCGCACGACCTGGGAGAGGGACCATTTGGTCCTGGGATCATATCGAATTTTTAATAATTTTATGAGATTATCAGAGAAATTATGTTTTTTTTTATTATTAAAGGGGATTATACAATTGGTTATTTATTCACTATTTTTTGTGGTCATATTTTAACATCTTAAGTAATAAAAACCAATCGGGAATTGATGACTTGAGTGGAATGCTCTCGGTTATTTAATTCCGCGATTTAATGATTTTTACTCAGAGGAAAATTGAGGACAGTTGCAATATTTCTTCATCTCCCAATCAATTATTCCTACAATTTAAATTCTTTATATTTTAGGTCACAGACGTGGTAAATTGTTTTAATAAATAAAAATTCTATCAGACTCACCTGTTTTTCTTTTATCCCCATTTTCTACGGGGAAAAATTCACGAGGATGGACTCTGATTTAATATTCATCGAAACTGTTTCAGGGTAGTACGCTCAGTGAGAATTTGCTACTTCTCTCGTGAATAAAATTTTATTACAATACTAAAATTTTATAGCGGGTTTCACTCACTTCTCTTCATGTTTAATCGTGCGAAGTCAGAGAATACTGCTGACTCCAGAGAATTGATTCTTGTGTTACACGTGACATTTACAATTCACATGATTCCTTTATCCCGCGAAAATCCATTTTTTTTCTAAAATTAAAAAAAAAATTTGAGAAAGCAATGACAATTAATTCCATAAACCGATGAACCAAGTACCCACGAGTGCTTTCCCTCCGAAAACATCTTCAACTTCACTCCCAAAACATCAATTCCCGCAGGTGTATTGCCTTGTTCTGTCCACGGCATCTTGTACAACGTGTTTTTCAATCTCTTATCTCCCCCTCCTCGTTTTTTGCCCATTTACCTTTCCAAAAAGAGGAAAGAGTGAAGAAGACTTGAAAAAAAAAAAAGAGAAGCCCAATGGCACAGACGGTTGGGCTTTTAAAAGGTGAGGGGATAGGAGAGGGAGAAAAATGAGACAAGAATCTTCCCAGCTGGCCAGATATCCCTTGTCGTGTGCGGCTGTTTAACTTCGGTCAATGTCTTCTCCTTTCTTCCATCTTTTTCGCACCCCCTTCCTCCCTTCTCCCCGCCACCAGTCGCGACTCCGCGGTTTCCTCACCCTCCCGCCCACCTCCTACTACCCCCTCACTCTCGGCCCTCACGACTCGTTCGATGCTACCTTATTCTCCCTGTCCCCTTTTCCCATGTCTTTTTTTTCCCTCTTTTTTATCCTCTGCACATCTCCCTTTTTTTTCACCCTCTCTCTCTCTCTCTCTGTCGCCCGTTCGACTATTTTATTCTCCTCTTTCTTCTGCACTCGAGGGTACACATACCCGGGGATCTCTTTCAGTTTAACATCAACTGTGGATGTGTGGAGACGACGACACTATCGTCACCACCACGTCGGGATAAATATGGGGAAATTGGATTTTTTGGGGGTTTTTTGGAATTCCGCGGGTTCTTTTGGTGAGTAATGCGTGGGGGGTTAATTGGTGTGGGGGGTGTTTAATTTAAATTTGGGGAATCTGGGATTAAGAAGCTGAAAAATTTGGGATTTCATTATTTTTCTTTTAGGATTTCGTGATTTTTTGAGAATTGTTATTTTGTGGAATTTTCACAACTTGTCCTTTTTTGATTGTGTATATCTCGGGAATGCGTCAATTTAGAGAGCGGGTTTATTAGAGTTTTTTGTGGTGAATCAAATTCTCCAGATAAAATTTCTTGTGGTTTTTTCGGCTGGAGTGAGTGGTTTCTGAGATAAATATGGAATTAGAACAGATGATTGGTGAATAGTCTCTCATCATGAAAAATAAATATTTTTTTTTACTGCCACAGACTTCATTACATTTTTTATTTCCTCGAACATTCAATTTTCAGTATCTTTTTTGTTGAAAATATTGATAAAGGGGAGGATATTCAGGTTTTACTTGTCTGCATTTGGTTGGGGTAGATTCATCGATGTTTTCAGGATTAAATATTGAAGGCGGTGGGGTATTTTTAGACGGAAGATCCCTGCTCGTTTTCTTGGTTGTGGGGGAGCAAAAATGTCGAGATGATATTGGGGTTTTTAATTTAATTTTCCACTGGATATTGAATATCCGACGAGAAAAATTCCCAAGACTCAATATTAATTGTGAATCTGTAAAACAGCATTCAAGGAATATATTTTCCAATAATGCTCTTAAAAATAATTTTCGATTAATTAAAGATTATGAAGACTTTTTGTCCGAATTTTATAATTTCGTTACTGAAGACGTTCAATAAATTTCATGAATTCAATTTAATTCGTTTAATTTCTCTCTTCTTACAGAGTGCAATAAAATTAGCTGGTAAAAATAATCTGAAGAAGCTCCACTCGCTTCTGACAATAGAGGAAAAACCAAAAGTGGATACCGGCCAGAACAATCGTCACAACGATCATCATATTAAGAATCATTTCAAACACAACCATTACACCCATAATTCCATACTGACACCCTCTACGCTCAATCAGGTACGAAAATACTTTGATAATCTCCCTTACTCGAGATCATTCCGCAGTAAATTCCTACAAATCCGGTCCTACAAACAATAAAATTCGAGAAATCAAATCCCCTCATTCCCCTAATTCATAATTATCTGGTCATCATCTCGATAACCGGTGATGCCACGAGAAAAAGTCAAAGATGTCAAAGATTTTTTCTGGAGAATTTAATTTTCCACGAAAAATGTCCATTGGCATTCGGTCGTTCACTCGTTCTCGGGATAATCAGCAGAAATGTCAGTCCACTGGGGAATTAAATCAAATAACTTTTCACAATTCAATTCTTTTTTCATTATTTTTTTAGGGCCTCGATGCAGGAACGAGTGACGACAGCGGGAGAGCGTCGGAACAATTGCATGGCCCTGGCATCCCTCGGGACAGCCAGGACGCGGATAGTTCCAGGGACCACCTTAGTGATGTATGTCAATCCAATGAGAAAGATTATTTCGTTAATTCATCGTTTATGTATTTCCTTGAGCATAATATTAATTTGTTTCACCCACAGGCCAGCAGCCACTGCAGCTCGGGCAAAGGTTATATCGTAAGTATTTAATTGCTCAACGATTGCAAAATCTCGCGAGATGATTAATGACATTTATTAATTGATGTTTTTTGTGTTATTTTTTTGACAGTGTGATAGTGAAGGGGAAGACGATAAGGTGCGTTCCACAAGCCATTTTAGAATTCAGTAATTTATTATTACAGTTCGATTCGTAAATATCTCTGGAGTGAATAGATTACGGGAGAATTGTTATGAGAATTTTTTATAGAGAATTTCATGATCTACGAAACCTTTAAATGACATTTTTTTCTGCCACACTTCCTCTCGAGTTATTCACGAAATAGACTATGCAATTTTTTGATCAATTGGATTGGTCTGATTAAAAAAATTGGAAAATCGATAGTGAACGGTGGAAAAAATGTAAAAATAATGGTGTCTCGATATTTTTAGGGCTCAGATGCAGAATCGATTCTCTTTGAATCTTCTACCCCACCTCTTCCACGTAAATGTAAGTACAAATTGGTTTATCCATCGTCAGTGCTCATTAAAATCCCCTCTAAAATTCGTTGGTACGTAATTAGATAGACCCAGTGAACTAATTGATTGAATTACTTTTTCGGTAGACGAGTTGCCATCATCGTCGCCACACGTATTACCACCGGCAAATGGTGCTGGTGGAACGCCTCCGGATACTGGGGGACAAATTTCAAATCCAGCAACGGATGCACCAGCACCAATACCCCCACCTGTGCCTGCCTCAGCACCAGTACCAACGGCGCCGAGTCCACCAAGTCCCACATTGCCACCACACATATCCCAACCACCCGTAAGTTCAACCGAATAAATAATAATTAACCAATTAACCATTGATAACCGTGACTGTCACGTCGACTATGTCCAAGTATCGACTTCACTTATCAATTATTATTTAATTTTATAAAATCTTTAAACCACCGAGGGAGCTGGGTTTGTCGTAATTTTTTAACGCAATGATTTATTTCTCTTTGCAGATGACTAGTCCGCTAGCAGCGAATCCCCGTGCAATAGCTCCCCAGCAGCGTCCAACATCACCAGCCCATCCACCGCCATCACTGCCCCAGCAGCCACACACGACAATACCAGCTCTACATCCACCAAATGTACCTCTGGTATCGTCGAGTCACAATACAACTAGTCCAGCTGTTGCCAGTCTCGGTGTAACACCAGCAGCTCCATCGAATGGGGCTGCTACCACCAGCTATCCACCCTCATTGCCAATGGCTGCTTATCCACAGACTCAGCCCTCTTATCCACCTCTTTATACACCTTACGCCTCACTGAATCACAGCCCGTACTTGTCACCTGCTGTACCATCACCATCACATTCTGCCTCGTCAAGAGCTGATGTTGTGAGTTGAAAAAGAATCTCAATTTATCAATTATCTCGGTAATGAGGAGGCGTAAAGAAAAATAATTGAATATATTCTTGATGGAAAATTTCTTTCTCTTCAAAACATGTCATTTGTCGTTTTATCGTAAATCTCATTGTTACCGAGTTAATGCATTTTCAATGCTGATATTCACACTATGAAATATCAGTGACTGCGATGAATGTCGATCAAGAATTAACAATAACTAATTACTGATCTTCAGAGGAGCAGTAGGGCCTCACCCCACACAAACAGCATAGCAAAACCCCCATTAGGGAACAACGTAACGAATCACAACAGTTCAACTCCCCTCTCAGCAGCGACAACAACGTGCGTGTCAACGATAACAAATACAGTTACCACAGCTAATACAATAGCACACCGGGACATTGTCACGTGTAGTCTTGCTGGACGTATTAACAATAATAATTCACCAAGGGGCCACAGTCCTAATCGCGAGCGTGACAGTTACAGGTAACAATCATTATCATCTATGGGTTACAACGTTTATTCTTATCTGTGACTAATTGACGTTTTTTGTTCTATCACGACTGTTCGGAATTAATGTGTAGCAGTAACGTGAGCACGTTGAGCAGAGGGAGTATAACGCCAGTCAGTGTGCCAAACACATCATCCCCAGCCAATTCTAGTCTACCCGCTTATTCAAAGGCTCCAGGATGGATCAGGTACACATTCTCCCATTTTTCATAATAATTTTGGAGATATTTGCAGTCAATGAATTTTTCAGGAATACGAATGAAATTAATACTGTTTTCATCTTTTGTTCCAGTAGTAGCACGAGCTCTCAATTGTCACCAGCAACTGGTACATCAGTGCCAAGGCCAACGCCCCCACCTCCCTCGACAGCCCTTGGAATGCACAATTTCCCACCACCAATGTTCGCAGCTCCTTTACCACCCCCAGTATCAAGTTCCAGTCCTCACACTTCGTTGCCTTCATTACCACCACCCACCACCAACCCCAATCCCTTCTCGGCGGAGTCTCTCTTCCAAACAAGTGAGTTTCACTATTTTCCGTAGATCCAATCAGTTTTCTATCCAATTTCCCATTTCAAAATTTTTTAAAATTAAATTTGGATATCTGCCACTCATACTTCATCATATACCTCGAAAATTTATAGATTTATCGGAAAAAGTCATAAACCTTTTGCCTAGAAAATTGAATTCTCTGCAAAAAATGTCTTCTTTCATTTCTCGATAAAACTCACAGTTTCGGAGATATTTGAAAATAAATAAGGCAAGAAATGTGATTGGGATTATTTGGATCTGGAAATTTTTGCTGTGATTAATTTTTAAATTATTAAAAATACTGATAGACGAATTATTAAGGGGTGACCCATGTCACAGGTCAAACAGACCTCTTGAGACGAGAGTTGGACAATAGGTTCCTCGCCTCATCGCAGGACAGAAACGTCGCAGTGAGTAATCTGGGGCCTCCACCGTATTTGAGAACAGAGATGCATCATCATCAGCATCAGCACACCCATGTGCATCAGCATACGACACCCCTGTTGCCTCCCCCAGCTGCGACGACGTTGTTTCCACCCCCGATCGTCAGTACCTCATTTATGAATATTCATTACTCTCCGATAAATTTTTATTCCTGTGATTACGATGAATTTTCTCAACAGTTTAAGGACATTCCAAAGCTGGGAAGTGTTGATTCACCATTTTTTCGTGGCAATCTCAACCTCTCGAGTTATCCAGGATTCAATGCTGGCCTCTTGCATCCTGGAATGGGTCCATCCACACCGTTTGTACCGCCTAATCACTTGACATCATTTGCACCAAAAGTAAGTGATTAAATTTCTAAACTCAGCTGTCCGAAATTTTTTCATTATGGAATTATAAAATTGGAATACCAAAATAAATTTCGTTTCATAAAAAAATAAATTTTTATTCTCCAATTAATGGACAGACGTGAGATTTTCTATTTTCTCCTGACTCGGAGTGAATTAGTCCTCGAATAAATTAAATTCTTGTGCACGAATGACTAAAAATATTTTCAAGAGAATATTTTGAATCGAATAGACTGGCTTAGTGGCCTGTAATCTCCGGTCCAATTATAAATTTGCGATATTCAAGTATTAATTATTGAAATCTGATAACGAGTTTGGATAAATCACATACAACTGTCTGGTCTATTTGAGAGTAAAGCCATGAATAATGGGATCACGTCTCCGGAATTGCAAACGAATTTGATTGGTTTTCCAGAAGACTGGAAAGTGGAACGCTATGCATGTGAGAATAGCCTGGGAGATTTATCATCACCAGCAGAAGCAACAGGCAGAGGCGAAAGCTGGTGGAGTGGTACCCACCAAGACAGAACTCCTCAGGCCACCAGGGCATCTTTATCCAGGGGGCCCACCTGGGGGCCTGGGCCTGGGTGGACCCTCACTGGCACCACCATTTCCCTCCAATATGCCTCCTAATCATCCTGGGGCACCACCACCTCCTCATCCTGTTGGATTTCTATCGACATCTGCGTCGCATCTCGGTAAATTCATACTCATTTCATTCCCTTCGAAATTTTGAGGAATAGCTCGGAATCTTTTGTAGACTGGAGTTTTTTTTTTATATTTTAGGAACTGGAATGTCACCTTTTGGCAGATATCCGGCATCGTATGGGGGTGGTAATCCCAATTTTCCCACGTTGTCAGCATTTCCACCGACGAGAGAGATGCCACAGTTGAGTGGACTTACGTCAGCTGTTCATGATCCCTGGAGAGGGTAGGAATATTTTTTAATTTCCATCGTCCAAATTCTTGCTTCCTGCAAAGACCATAACGAATCTTTATTTGATTACTTGATTGCCTTCTCCAGAATTCAATTCTTTAAAGACTTGAAAGAAAAAAAAATTTATCCCACAGCCTGCAACGAGCAACACCAGGATTTCCCCCGACGACAGTCTCGTGGACATTGAAACCGGAGCCTCCGCCGATTGATCGTCGAGCTGAGCTGGAGGAGCGGGAGAGGGAGCGAGAGCGTCAGCGGCGAGAGCGAGAGGAGCTGGAGCGACAGCGTCGTGAGCGTGAGCGTGAGCGCGAGGAGCACGAGCGTCAGCGACGTGAGCGCGAGGAGTTGGAGCGACAGAGGCGTGAGCGTGAGCGTGAGGAGCAGAGGGAGCGAGAGCGTCGTGAGCGCGAGAAGGAGGAGAAAAGGAAGCAGCAGGAGGCAGCGGAGAGAGAGCGCGAGAGGCGCGACAAGGAGAGAAGGGAGTTGGAGAGACGTGAGATGGAGAGGGAGAGGCTGATGCATCAGAATCGTCAGCACGCGCTGATGGGACGTGAGAGATCACCTTTGAGAAATGGCACGATGGATCCCAGTGAGGTGAGGGTCAAGGAGGAGCCGAGGAGCAAAGACGACGACGTTGTTATGCTATCGAGGGGCCCAACAGTGGGTCCTGGTATTGGTCAGGGTCCAAGCCCCATTCCAGATCTCAGGTATCATCATCCTCATCATGCCTATTTGGCGAGGCATCCCCACAACATGCCTCACAGCATATCCAGAAGTATGATGCCCCTGGGTCATCCCATGCAGCACTTTCAACCACCACCTCCACCTCCACCTGCCACAGCACCTGGACAACCACCTGGACCGTGGACACCTGATCCGTTCAGGGATCCATACAGGTATGATGCACTACAGCAGCTCAGGTACAATCCACTTATGGCGGCTGCTGCATTCAGGGCTGAAGAGGAGGAGAGGGCGAAAATTTATGCCGGATACAATCAGAATGTCGCTGCACTGAGGGCTAAGGATCCAAGCCCTGGTCCACTCAGTAATCTTCATATGCATCATCGGGCTGGACCTGGACCTGGTAATCCACCCAGGCAGGTCGATGGAATTATTCATGGGGATTTGCATAAGAAGGAGGACTCCTCGCAGTCACGATGATAGGGGAGTTTTGAGGGAGGGAATTTAAAAAGTCAATTTCTCACGGACTATCGATGAAATTTTTTTTCTTTTCTTTGGGGATTTCCATGGGCTTAAGAGATGCGGGATCGATTTTTGGTGAGTGTTTTGGAATTTTTGAGAATTACCGGGTTTTTTGGAAATTGCTTTAGATTTTTTTCCAGACAATTCCAAAATACGCGGCATTAATTGATTTGATATTTTGAAAAAAATTTTGGGGATGGGGAAAAATCTGGGGTTCGATTACGGAGAAATTTCGAACTTTTTACGTTCCACAGAATCAAAACTAGTTTAAAAAGAATTTGTAAATATTGAGGACAGAGGAGGTCTTTCTGTATGAGGATTAAATGCAATGAGTTGTTTTGAGGAGTTTCTCGAGGGTGGATTCGATATCCTGGGGATCTGACTGTCTATAGAACTATATTATATATACGATTTATTATTACGGTTATTAAGTAACGAGTAACGTTAATATCGTGTGTAATATTACGGATTACTGTAGGGACAGATGAGAGATGGAATACGTAAGTCGAATTGTTTTTTATCTCATTTTTGAGAGAGTGAATGACAGATCGAGTTGCATTGGAGAATGATGGAGGAATTTTTCGAGAATGACCGCAAATTATTTAATTATTTATTTATTGTCGAAATGTAGGTGAATCTCTGTTGGCGTCGAAGGTTCAGACTAATTTAACTGATGTAATATAGGGAGGAAGTTATCGATTTTAATTTTCTTTTAACGATTTTAATAGGTTTTTTTTTCGGGTTTCTCTCTTGGCTGAGTGAATGTGGGGAGTTTTCCGTTTTTTAGGGATTCAATTCTTTAGGTTTTTAGTTCACTGGGGACACTAGAATTTTTCCTGTGATAAAACATTCTCGAGATAATTCGGGGATTGAGGGGATTTTCTCTTTAGTTGAGATTTTAGAATTTTTAACACATTTTTTATTCAAAAAATACTCAATTCCTCCTACGAAAAAATAAGTTTTGATTGTTATTAAAACTCCTAATCTCCTCAATTTCCCTAAATTTAATTAATTTATTAATTAAAGCAAATCGTGTCCCCATTAATCTCTTCCTTCAGAAAAGAAAAATTGGTTTCAAGAACTGAATCAAAACCAATTGATCAATTTTTATTAATTTTAATTAGAATGACATTGGCAGGTGCCAAAAAATCGCGCAAACTGCGGTAAAACCTAAAAGACAAACAAGGGATTACCAATTTTTTTTTTCCAATTTAGAACAGCAAGAAAAAAATGGTTAAACGAGTGGAAAACGAATGCCATTGTGAAATGAATTGAACTAACGTGAAAAATCTTGCATTAGGGATTTTTGCAATTAATTAAAACGAACATAAATTGCTAGCCCCCCTCCCCTCTCTTCTCCCCCTCATGACCATTTAATTGATTTATTCACATTATAAAAGTGACTGTGAAATTGTATATTAAATAATTATATAAAAATCTAGCGAATATATAAAGGCTAAAAACAGATTGTAGATATTTTTCATCAATGAAGATTAAAAACGAGTAATTACACCGAGCAAATTGAATGGAGCTGACCCGAGAGGAACTAAGAATATGAAAAAAAAAATTAAAAGTGATGATGCAATGGACATTACTCTTTTTCTGTTTTTGTAGATAAAGAAAACGAGTATAATGGAAAGTTTTGTGTGAATAGAATTCTTTTCTAAAAGAAGATGAAACAAAATGGAAAAAATTGATTCTTTGTAAAAGGATCCAATAATCAATAGTTTCTATCAAAGTACCAATTCGTCGAAAAGAGAAAGTGTTTGTTTATTTTGAACCCACACGTACAGTATTTCATTATTTGGCTGATCTATTTCGTGTTTACAGTGCACATTTTCATCTTTCCTTTTCTCAATTAAAATTGATAAATTAGTGGGAATTCTCACTTCGTCGGTTGACAGTTGATTTGAGAATTTATATGAATTTTAATCTGAGAAATCCTTACGCTAAACATTTCTTGACTTTAATCGAAGGAAACCCTTTGGCGCCTCTCAAAGCCCAAAACCCCTGCAGAGATCGTAAAAAACCGATACACCCTCCGTAAAATTGAAATCCCCCAAACTCCCTTCTTAATTATCCAATGATTCAATAACGAAGTGTAAAAGTTTGACAAGTTGAATTTGCAATTCTTCCGTTTTATCGATCTCGAAAATTATCGATTTCAACGAGAAACGTTAGAGGGATTTTTTGTAATTGATTAAATTTATGATAAACGGTGTCTTATGACATTCCTTCCTAAAGTCAATATTTTCAAATATAAATCGACATTTACTCAAACTGTCAAATTCAAATCATCTTACTTTACCAAAAAATTCAGTAGCCAAATTGTCGGGATATTTATCGAATACTCGAACAAGTCGAAATTTTTGTCTCAACCACTGAATGACTTGCCGCAATCTCCACTGAATAATTTCCCTGAATCCTCTGGAATTCATCGTGAGCTACTGGAGCTGGACCTCGTGTACCTCCGATGCCTGTGACGAGTATTATTGACAGGACTTCTGGACCTGGACCTCTGTCTGCGCCTGGGAGGCCTGGGGCTCCTGCGACGATTCATGGGAGGTGAACGTCGACGATAACGAGGGGGTGAATTTCTCCTGTTGCCTCCCCACCTCATGGGCCCTCCTCTGCCCATTCCTGGTGACATTCGCCTCATGGGCATGGGCCTCGGTTTAGGTAGAAGCACTGGAGCTGCTGTTATCTCCTGTCCATCGATCTGACCACCATCCATATGCTTCATGGCGTTCTCAGCCTCGTCAGCTGTTTCAAACTCGACGTAGGCAAAGCCCCTGCCATGATTTGGATGCATCTTGTCCACAGCAAAGTCTACCATCTTTATCTGACCGTAAGTAGAGAAGATCTCCATTATATGATCTTTGGTAACATTTCTGGTAAGATGACCAATATGAATTTTCGTGGGCCGAGGAATTGGCGAACGCTCCCGACGCTTTCGACGAGGTGACACTGATCTACGAGGAGATGGTGACCTCGATCTCCCTTTGGGTTTTGACTTGTCCACAGCGGAATCATTTTTCTTCTTATCCTTATTCCTGTCTCTTTCTCTCTCCCTGTCCCTCTCTCGATCCTTCTCCCTCTCCTTCTCCTTGTTGTCGTGCCTCCTGGAGCCATCAGCACTCTTGCTACGACTACGTTTACGATTTCTATCTCTGGAGCTTCCGGACGAGCTCCCAGAGCTACTCGAAGAGCTGCTCGACGAGGAACTTGAGCGAGAACTGCTGCCACTGCTGGAGCTCGATGATCCCGAGCTACTGTCCGACGAACTGAAGTCATTCAAGTGCTCAATTACTCAAAAAACAATTGGAGACATTTGCCAGAAGTAAGTGGACCAATCGAAAATTCCTTCCTCTGGAATTAATTGAAAATACCACTCAAAAAATCATCCTTACCTGCTGCCACTGCTCGATGATGACGCAGCCCTTTTCTTCCTGTCCTTCTCTCGTCCCTTATCCCGCTTGGTGTCCTTATCAGTTGCCTCCGAGTCACTCTTCCCATTGCTGTCCTTTCGACTCCTAGCCCTGAAAGAAAACCCCCGAATTAATTTTCCACCGTCAATTACCCATCACCAATACTCGAAAATAACAATTCACTCACATGATGAATACCAGAAAAATATATTTCTGCCAGATAATAACACCAGTTTTTCGTGTAAATACTGAAAATGGCGGTCAATTCCGGCCGCTGGGTGCACACGCTCTCCACTCGATGTGTTCACTTCAATTAATATACCAAAATTAATCAGAATAATTAATATTCAATTAAAGATAAATTTTGTCGAACTTGTGAGGGTGGTGGTGACTTTAGTTCGAGTTAAAAATTCATGTTTGTACTCACAATTATGGATTCGTCAAATGCTGCTCATTTCGACGAGAAACCGAGGCTAGAATGCAAATCGAGGGCTTTGCGCATGTGCACGCGCAGGCACTCAATCCATTTTAAATTTCTTTTACTAGCGCCGCCCCGGCCGTTAAAACTTTAGTTCGTCGCTTGTCTTCCAGTCGATTTTGGCGGGATAGCTATGATGCTCTCCTTTGTACATAAGGAAAGAATCCGGCAAAATAGATTATGTCAGGGGCATAAATGAATAATAATTCGAGTTGAGAAAATAGTCTTTATTCATAAACTGTGCGTGTGTGAATATTTTAATTATCAAAAACGTTTAACAGTCCTGAAATTGACTCCGCAGTAGTTCTTCCGCCATCCATTGTGCGCCATCCTTCCCAGTAATTTTTTTCCACCCTCGAATAATAGTCCGGATGTGGTACATCGGAAAGTACAACCCCATCCCCTTGCAGCTCTAAATTGTTGCAAAGTCTGAACCCCTCGACCCCGAGAAACAGTCGAATATCAGGGCTTCTTCCCCACCTCGCCATAACGTTGCTCTCAGCAATGGCAATCAGTTCTTCAGCAAAATCAGGCTCAGTCACCCTGACGCTCGCGACTCTCAGATGTAAAGAGCACCCCAGAATCCGGAGGAACAGATCATTGGAGATTCCCCCAGACCCTTGGCAATCGATTATTTCCAAATTCTGAAGTCCGTCGAAGTGAATTTCCTGGGGTAAGTCCTTGAAGCCTTCCAATTCTGACTCCTTCGAAGGAATATTTATTGCTCGCAAGTACCTCAGTCTCTCGAGAGTAAAAACAGGCATTAATTTACTGATTGATACCCCGTTAAAGTCATCACTGATATCTAAGTACTCGATATGCCTATTATTCCCAATGAGAGACTGAAAATTTTCACTTGAAAGTGCCGAAAGAGGCATTGACAAGTACTCCAATTTCTTGACATCCCCTAGGGGATTGTCGGACTCTCCGGCAATCGCTACACCATTCATCCTGAGGTAAATTAACTCCTCCAGATTTTCCAATCCACTGATTTTCACTGGATTCTTCCGTGATAGCTCATAAGGCTGAGTAATAGCCTGAGCTTCGACCAAAGTTAGAGCTCGTAAATCTCGATACTTGCACATCGAAATTTCTCGCCGCGTAATTAAATCGGAGGTAACACCGCTGTCCTCTTCCTGCGAATGTTCCCCAAGTCTCACATGAGACCTATTGAACACGTGAATTTCCCGCATGCCCTCTGGCAAGTTCTCAAGAAAATCAGATTGAAAAACCGGAGCATCCCTCAACATGATATGAGTCAAGTGCTTCAGTCTCATCAAAATAGGCTGAAGACTACGTAAACTGTACCTTTCCTTCCGAATCAATGGCTTGCATTTACATTTTTTTACCCTGAAGTCCAACCCCAAGCTCTTCACATTGGGACAATGATCCCTCAACCATGAGAATCCACAGCTTTTGTACGTATAAATCTCCTCGAAGTATTTTCCCCATTTAATCATACATCTCTCCCTGCTCTCATGACACGACAGCTCTCGGACATCGAATTTTTTACAGCTCTCCCAATTCTGTTCTAAAATCATCTTCCAGCGGTTGCAATCCTCCGCTGCTTTCAATTTATTGTCCAGCGAGAGTTGATGGAAAATTGTGTTGAGGGAATCGTCAGATAGTTCTTGAATAGTTGAGGGACATGTCGACTCTTGTGGATCATCTGAACCTTTAGATTTTACCTCTTGTTGGCTCTTCAATTCTTCATCAGCTGCACCTGCAGCAGGTGAATCCTGGATGTACCAACCATCCCACTCGTTGCATCTGAGTATTTTGGCGTCATCAGTACTAACGACTTCGTTGTGCTCGAAGTTATCAGAGCTGTGATTTTCCCAGGGAATGTAACGCTCATCTGATCGTCTGTATCTCGAATTATGGTAGTACCGCATTGGAGCTTTGTTGGGTCTGGCCAAAACAATTTGTTTCACATCTGATATAAACCAGTCACTGCTAGATCCCCACCAGCCTGTTCTTTTGAATACTTTCAAATTTGGAAAGTTCTCAAGCATCAGTCGAGTTCGCCTGTCCGACAGCCCCACGTTGTGATGCTCTATGTATTCTATAGTCGTTGACGCCCCCGAAGACTCTCTTATCTTGTTATCAGCGTCGTTCCAGCAGAGGACCTTCAAGTGCTCCAGCCTCAGAGCTCGAAGCCAGATCCTCGCATCCTTCCAATCTGTTATCAAAGGGAGGCAGAGGTACTTCAGGTGGTCGTTCCTTTTCAGGATCAAACACATGTCATCGTAATCAATTATAGTTAGCTTCAGGGACAGGTGCTCCAGGTTTGTGGTGGTTTCCAGCTTTCCCAGAAGATGTTTAGACAGATAGCATTTATCCAAATTCAAGTGACTCAATTTTTTAAGTCTCTCAAGGCCAATAACGGAGTCGTCGTCCAGGTGATAGCTGTTGAGCGTCAACGCCTGGATGTTTGACAGTCCTGACAGGTCCAGGGTCTTTCTCCCATAGATGTTTCGTTTTTCAGAGATTTTTGCTTGTCTCGCTTCTCTGTCCAACCACCTGTCTTCGGTTGTTGAGGAATTGTCGAGGTCATTGAACAGGTGAATTTCGATTATCGTGCGAGGTAACTCCTGGAGGAATGAGAAGTACGTGTACTGGGGAATTCTAATTTTCAGCAGAAGACGAGTTAATCTACTGAACTGTTGCAATGCCTGACGCTCGTATCGAATGCAGGGCTGATCTAGACCTTTTCTCTTCGTGTATTTACGAAATTCTAATGCCATATTTTCCACATTTCGGCAATGATCTGTAATTGTTTTAAATCCGTGATCGTCGTAGCAGTAAATTTCCTTCAGGTGGCTGCCACTGTTGATCAGGTACTGCTTGTTCTTGTGCACTAGGGTATTCTCTCGTAGATCTATTCGCGTTGTTTTTCTCCATAATTGACGGGATACGTCGGCCCAACGTTTGCAAACTCCTGACAGCTTCAACTGCTCGTACGTCGACAGGTTATTAAATATTTCCAGAAGACAATTATCTGGTAAAATATTTATTGGTGTATTTCTCAGGTGCAGGGGTCTCGCTGTTATCTGTTGTTTGTTTATTGTTATGGTGCCGGTTTCAACTGCTCTCAGGGCTTTTTCAGCGGATTCCTTCGTTTTGAAATCAATTATGGCGAAATTTGAGTCGTAACCGTAAAATGATGACTCGGGAATCAGCAACAGGTAGTTGCAGTGTGAAATTCCGTAGAGAGTGAACTTTCTTTTTATTTCTTGCTTCAGGTGCTGAAATTGTTCGAATAATTATTTATTGACTCGTAATTGTTATTTTTATTGCCAGGATTGGCATTTTTTGGGGATAAGAATTTTTATTTTCATTCACGAGTCGAATAATTTTATGAAAATTGAATAATTTTGTAGCGAAATTGAAAATTGGGATGAGTGGGATTTTAAAATAATTTAAATATATACCCAGAGCTCTCGGCGCGTGTAGTCCTGATCAGGTCGAATTACCGGAGACACTATTATAGACTTGAAACCCATTCTTCAGGTTTTATCGGTTCACGTTATTCGTAATTATCAATAAACTCGTTAATTAATTATTTACACGGATTAGGGAATTAAAATAGTATCACAGACGTGGAATGTCCTACATGGACTACGGTATCCGGAGAATTGACGGAAAATCCAACGCCTCGGATGAGTTTTCCTGTACTGCATGTACACAATATGATGTAACTGCAATCATGCGCGCTGTCGCGTACTCTATCTCTAAGTGTGCGTTGTAGAGGATGATAATATCCTCGTAGTCATGGAAATGACTAATTCATTTATCAGCTAATGAAAAAGCGAATAAAAGTTAACAATGAAAAAAATAATTCATTCTTCTCGGAAATAATCGGGAATATAAATCCATTGAAATTCTAGTAAAACAAATATGATTCAGATTTTCAATTGATTTTAAAATGCATTGCACAATTTTTCTGTTCCAACCGGTGGTGAATTATCTTCAGTCGGAATTTCAAGTTCTCTCAAATCCTCAGAGAGGGCAGGACCCGTATTTCCACCCCCGGAAAATTAATCATCCCCCAACGAAAAGAAAATAATCGATAAAAATAAATGGATAATTAGAATAATACCCTGATAAAAACCAAAAATTAAATATTCCCCAAAAAAAATCCACCAAATTCCCCATTCAAATCCCCACCTCCTCCCTCCTGCAATTACGCTACCCCACAAATTACGTAATACATATAAAAAAAATCCCCCGAAAACTTTGCGGAAATATGTTCGATCACGTCAGGTCATTATCCCGAACGAAAGTTCTGAAAAACCGATTGAGAAAATTATTTTACCCATTACCACCTGGTGATTTCATACGTTCCATTACCAAGGGGTGCGGGGGGCTGTGGTAGAGTGGAAGAAGCCAGTGAAGACCATTTATTTTTTTCTCCAGTCGATTTTTATTTTTATTCTTTCGAAAAAAGAGAGGAAAAAAAAATCGGGTAGGAGTGAGTCGACCTCGCGTGATAGCTCATACCACCTTTGCGTGTCGAACTCTGATTTGCTTTGTTGAATCAAGTGTATATCCCACTCCTATCGCTCGCCAGACCCGAATGGTGCATTTCCCTTTTATTTTTTATTATCGTTTTTTCACCATTGCCCACCCCTTCTGATTCGTCAATGGTTTTGTTTTACTTTTGGCGATTTGTTTCGCTCTAGCCATTTTCTTACCGGTATTTTCCATTATTCCTGAGGACTATCAAATTGACGATACGATTTACCGCTGTCATACAGTTTAATCTTATTTACAACGTTCAAAATCATGAGGGACGGGTGTGTATCAATCGTTTAAGCTTAAAAAGCTTTTTGATGGAATGAAAAGTCGGCATTGACGTGGGGATAGTGCCCTGGGGGTTGAGTATTGTTTGTCGATGAGGGAAAGCTTTCAGTGGAAAAATCAAATCGGTTATTCATATATCGGATTAATGAGAAGTTTAAGATTTAATAGTCATTCGTAATGGTTTTCATCGATTTTCTTTAATCCGTTGGATTTAATTAAATTCACGTTTCATGGATTTTTCACACTTCAACGGAATTTAATTGAGGGAAATTTATTGAATAAAAATGAGTATCCAATCCTTGGAGACTGATAAATAATTTTATTAAAGAATAATTTTCGACGATTATTGACGTGAAATAGGTCGGCGTTTTTTTTTCTGAAATTTCTTTTGCAGCGTTTCACCTGTCGATTTTTTTTTTTCATTCATTGATTTTGAATCAAAAAACAATTTTCGACAGATCGGCAGATTGAATGAAATAATCGAAATATAAATTGGGGGGTGTTAATGCTTTTATAATGGCCCTCAGTGGTCGTCGAGCCTTGAAAAACTACCCCCCGCACACCGGTATTTAAAGCTAACAATCGGAAATACGTCGACCGGTTACAGAGCAAATTGAACACCTCCAAGGGTGGATGGGTGGACATTTGTATTAGATTCACGTTGCGATAGTAGTTAAATTAGTTTCATCAACTTCTGCGTCGAATGCTTACGGCAATCGCGTGGCTCTGATTTCTCTAAAATTACACTCAGTGTCCCAAAATAGAAAGGGAGGAAAAAATTAAAAATTCAGAACAGGACTTATCGGTCTCCATCGAATTTCATGCATTTTCCCAACTAATTTTCGTCTGAATGGAAATTATCGTAATGAAAATTATTCATTAAGTTGATATTCATTCATTATTTTTTGTTAATTAATTTTCGTGGGTACCCTAGTAGAAAATTTTCCGTAGGAAAAATTCGGCGGGATTTCAGGAGTATTAGGATTTTGAGGAAAAGGTGGAATCTTGTCCGCGGTGAGGGGATGAGAATCGGTGGTATTTTTCGTGGATAACAATGTCTAGGGGCCGATGAACCATTGCGAGAGACAAATCAAACCGTGACTCACATGCATACTGTCTACAAATACAGGAGATGAATGTAAAACCACTGAAGTGAGTCGAGCGAAATACTCGGTATAAAAAAGAGAGAAAAGAAAAGGGAATAAATAAAAATGGTAAATCCCGGTGGTTGGAGCATTTCGGGACTTTATGCCGGCTGTGGGAGCTACAGACGCTCCAGATTTTTTTTTTTTTATTCTTGAATATTTCTTGGTTATTTGCGGCAATGTGGGCGCATATAAACTGCATTTAGGGGTTGAAAAAATACCCGAGTGCTCGTGGGGGTGGTATTTTACGAGGAGATGTTTAGGAGACGCTTCGGGAAAGTTTCTCGCGTTTAAAATTTTATACGACGGGATGGGCACGTGGGGAATTGATCCCCGGGTGGAGACGACCTCAGGCGAGGGTGTCAATTATTTTTTCCCATTTTTTTATCCATTTTTTTTCGGTGGTTTTGAGTCAAAACGAAAATTTCAACAACTGCCAGTGGAAACGACACGATTTCGCATTACGATATTATTATTTTCAGCGTATCTCGGGAAATAATGGGTTGAGGCAAAAATGTTGTTAATTATTAATTGTCGGGAATTTTCCGGGCTTCAAAAAATGTTCGGGTTATTTTTTTGTGGGAGCTATTGCCTGGGACATATGGTTTAATTAGTGGCAGGAGTTTTGGGTGTTTTGGAGGGGTTGCGAAATAAATTCATTTGGCTTTGATTTTTTCATATATTTTTTTATTCTCTGCTTACTCTTTGATTAAATTATTGATATCGCGGGTCGAGTGGTACGTGAATATCCGGCGGAACTCGGTGATGGGGGATTTTACTTATCAATCCAAGATTAAGCTCACACACCCGTTGCAAGCGACGCTATCTCGGGCTAATGGCTCTACGAGGTAATGAACGTTACTCATTAGACCACGTCAGAGGTATTATTCTGCGGTTGGAAATGTAGTATATTCATTACTTGTCATGTAACATAATCACTCAATGAATAGTCAACGTGATTAATTTATCTGGCTGTTAATAGCACTAGCGTTAAATAAATAATCGTTAAAAAAAATCGCAATCCATTCGCTAAATTTTCGGACTTAAAATGCAAAAAAAAATTCACGACTTTTTGGAGTAGTAACTGTATGCGATCATTATTAAGTGTACACCAATTAAAATCAGAAATTTTATTTCTTTCAAGTCGTCCCTTCGCCAATATCTCAGAATTGAAGAAAGATATCGATATTTTTCTAAAAACATCAATTATAAAGAAATACGAGAGCTACAAAAAATGTTCTTATGCATTTACCTCTATCTTCCCTCAATTCGCAAGTATTTCCTGAAAACGCGACGTAAAAAAATGCATTTCCACAATTGTTTTAAATCTTCCACACAAATGAGAAATAAATTATCAGTTTTTGATGAATCGCGATTTTCACAAGTGAACCGATAAATGCGATGTGTTAAAATCCTCTTGAAACCGTGGGCGTTGAATCTTCGGAAGAAAATGCATCGAGCCGTAATTAAATAGTCATCAATGATGCACGTGTGTTGCAGCATTAACGCGTAGGTGTAATTATCGATTAAACCGTTAGCGAGGAATTCCTGTGAGCCCCTTGCCAGGGAATGACGTAAAACTAGTGCTCGCACCCCTCGAGAGGTGGACTGCTCAATGGGGGGTGGATTGCAAGTTTGTATGTGGTGGAAACAACGTGTTTGGCCTCTCATTCAGTGTTCCACTCTGTGCGCCTGTGTCAATTCTTACAGAGAGTAAACCCCTGCCACGTGGCTTCAGACACGTGTGTATCCTTTTGTGGGATGACAGTGGTCAATTGCCAAGGCCCTAATGAATCTCGACAATTTTCCTTTTCCCCGCATCCACGAGCGAATTTTTCCGGTGGGAATCATCCGGTGAGGGATTATTTCCGTCTGGGGGATGAAACATCCAATATAAATTATTAACTTGATTAATTATCAATCGATTTTAATCGTGCACTCAAGATAAATAATTTTTAATTCGACATATCTCTTTTTTTACCTTGTGAAAAATCGAATAATATGGAAAATTCTTTTTATTTAATTCAAATTAAAAGAAAATATGGGATAATCCAGGGGATTTTTTTCGGGTCCAAAGAGTTGATTGAAATTCATTTTAATTAAAAATATGATTGTTTAATCGGCGGGAATATTTCCATTTTCATCAGTACTGGGTACTGGAGTATTGAAAATAAAATATTAAAAAAAATTCCAAGTCTCTGAATGGACGGAAATTCGTTTCTCTTGGGATCTCGATTGAACTGAATTCACTCGATTCAAAACGCATCGTCCGAGTACGAATTTTCTCTGATACCGGAATAAACCAGTTTTAGAATACTGGACTAGCGTTGAAACTCACTTCTATCGTCACGTTTAAAACGGCCATACTCATATGCCCGGGTGTAATCAAGCTACGAAAATGAAGAGAGATTGGATATGACGGGAGAGTGAATTGAACTGGGTTGTACATCCCCAGAATTACATTTGCACGTCTGTATTTATTCCGTGCATTCACTCTGGTGATTGGTACGCAGAATGAAAAATTTATCATTTCGGTAGAACTGAAATTCAACTCTAGAATTTTTTTCTTAAGAATTTCGAACTGCATAAATAAAGATTATGCCGACGATATTTTTTCAAGAACAATAATTTATTGACACAATTTTTCCAAATTAAATTTAAATAATTTTCACGCAACATATTTCAATATTTTTCTCTCCGTGTAATTCTTCGGTCATTATCTCCATCTCTTTTTATTAATTATTTGAATTAATGATTAACGATTAAAGATCGAATTTCGTGTGCTAACCCTAGAAATTTATTTTTAACTTAAAAACGGATGAACGAATTTTGTTTTCCACTGAAAATTTCATGCCCACCCCTAAATCATCCCCGAAGCGTAATCTGCCTGAGCCTGAGGTGAATCGACGTGTGGCAACATCCGCAGGAACAATAACCCGGGAACAATAGCCAGGGCAAATTAAAATGCAAATGAAGATGAGTTGAAGGGGAAGAGAGCGAGAGTTCATGAGTCGCAAACATTTCTCACACCACCACCTGTATATGTACCATTGTCATCTCTATAAGCCGAGAGAATCGCGTGGTGATAGGGGGGCGGATGTGGGTGGATATGGGGTGGGAATTAGGGGGAGGGGGCACTGACTGAAGGTACGCCATGCGGGAATTAGTATACGCTGTCCTGGTATACGTAGTGACAGAGATTACGTGCCTTCGGGTGACGTTTCAACGGGGATCGAGGCCACTGTGCTACCGTGTTTGCATATCCAACATTTTTCCCCCATTTCCCCCCTTTTTCAATTTTTTTTTTCCATTTCATCCCACATTTTTTCCTCCTGGGGATCGCGGGGTTAACGTTTCGAGATATGAACGCAATCGGATGGCTCTCAAGGCCGATTTAAATGGCGCATCATCCACTGGAATTTTTTTCCCCTCCGCTGTTTGTTTTTACTGGACGCTAGCGATAAGGGGATTGGCTGGGATTTTTATTTTTATTCTTTAGGGGGAGGGGGAATTGAGGGGGTGTACTGACTGAAAAAAAATTTCCGGTTCTTCTCCGTCGCTCCTTATCTGTAGATCGAGGATGAGTCAACGAGGGATGATTAATTGAATTTTAATTGAAGACAAATCGGGATTTGTATTTTTGGGGGGTTTGATGGGTAATTTATAATTTATTGCATTGGGAAAATTATTTTTCACTCGGGATTTGAGTAGATTTTTTTCATTCTCTTCGGACAGGGCCCCTCGTGGAGTTTATAATAATCTGAAAATAAAAATGAATGAAATCCAGGATTAAATGAAGACAGAGGAGAAAGATTGTATTTCAAGAGGAAAATTAAATCCTGAAAATTCTGGATATGCTGGAAATCCTGGAGATCCTTGGAACAAGTGATTCCAGTGATTCCAGCGTTTTCTCACTTGAAATTCAAGAAAGCAGTTAATTCTCTTACTTGTTCTGTAAATGGCGACCTCTTTGAAAATATATCCGAATTCCAAGCGTTTACTCAAATGAAATTCACTGCAACGATTGTAACACTTCATGTGACAAATACTTGGAAATGTCTGATCCTCGTGATCCCTGTCTCTGGCGCATATTGTCCTACTACCATCACCATCAAGATCCTCCTTATCCAGTCGATTGTCGGTCGACTGGTTGTCCTCGTTCTCCTCAATGCCAATCACCCTGACTGAATCCTCACAATGGCTACAGTTACAACCGTCTGCCTTAATGAAATTGCCAACTGAAATCACTGGTGCAATAATTCAATTATAACCACAATTCAGAGTCACACCTAATCAATTTACAAATCCACTTCCGCCCGATTAAATCGAGATATCCTTCGACTTGGAAAAATTTATCATCGAAATTCAATCGATAGCTCACTGACGCCTGTCCTAAATACCTAATTAACCGATCGGATAATTTGAGTTTTTTTTAATTACCCATTGAATTTATAAAATATATTCAGAATTAATCGATGGATATAATTTATATAATTTATTGATTCTTCGGAACGTCAAATATAATTGAGTTGTCAATGGATTGTAAATTTCGAGAAGTTGGGATTTTCAATATTCTTGGGTAATTAATTCGTCATCTTGTAAGGGGGTAATGATAAATTAATTAAAATGCCTCGGTACACACCGATGATCAAGACAGTGGCGTGTAATTTCATCTCGAATAAATGTCACGCGTGGAAACACACGTTTACGAATTTACGGAGGGCACTAAGAGACGCAAATTGCAAACAGATCAAACGGATTCCAAGGGATTATACCAAACGTCCAGTTTGATTTCGACTAAACCGCTGAAACCGACTGAATCCCCTCATCTCCCTCTTCCCTCAATGTCTCCTCAAGATCTAGGGAGAGAAATGAGCTGGAGAGTGCTTGTGTGTGCACTAGGAGGTCGAGTGATTAAATATCACATTCTCAAAGGCAACACGACTCGTTAAACTTTATCTACTAAACTTTTCAATGATAACGGTGGTATTAGGGGAATTAGTTGTCGGGAAAAACATTATGTGGGTCAATCGAGAGATTGGAATTCAATTGCAGTCTTACGCTGTTCCAAATTCTCTATTTTTACACAGATAATAATTTACTTTTTTAATTATCCTGATGGATGGTATAATTATCCGGTGCAAGTGACAGGGAGGAAATTTTTTATCGAACCATTTCAATGAAATTTACATAATGTTGTGTTAAAAGTCGCTGACGATTTATTTACGTGTGTTAAATATTTTAAATTATGGAATTGGAATTTTTTGGGATAATTTTTGGTTTGTAAATTTATTTTAGAGCGCAGAAATGGCCGATAAATCTGAAAATTGTGGGATAAAATAGGAAAAGTATCGATTGAATATTATGAGTGGATGGAAACCGGTGGAGAACAGCCGCTGCACAGCAGCAGTACATTAGACACTTTGACTTGCTAAACGGGTTAATTTGAATGTTTAAATTCTGGCGTCGTACAACTCAATTTGCGAAGACCCGGTGTCTAGTTAATTCGTTTCTTTCCTTTTTTCATTTTTTTTTCTCGTACTTTTCTTCACCCCTTGTTACCTCTATTCCACTGGACCCCAGCAGACTCAAGACGACTAGCCAATTCTCACGTTTTTCTCCATATCATGTAATTAGTAATCGGGGCATTATTAGCTCATGAACACCGGAGCGAAGGCTTTCTCAGTTCATTTAAGTTCGATCGTTTTTCCTTCGTCCTCTTTAGGCGAAGGGGGAGATAAAAAAACGGGGAATTGTGTTAATTCCGATTGAACTCATGGTGATGAAGGGGAAATGACTGACTTGAGAATTTCGACATTTCCCTCCGGATATTCCGTGTTTATTTGATTTATCATTTTTTCATTAATTAATTAATTTATCCAGCAGGTTGACAGCTTTCTTTTCCATTCGGTGAAAAAGGGGATTTTTTTAGATTCAGGGGATATGATTAACGGCAATGAATTTTCAATTATTTTATTGGTGACGTTTGGAATTAAATTTTGAATAGTGTAGGTCAGTTAATTTGATTTGATATGGTATCACTTGGCCTCGTTAGTCTTGATAAAATAAACAAACTCCTGTGAGTGATCAGGTGAGTTTTGTAAATTTATGTTGCACCGGTGGCACTGAAGCACCCTAGCCCCTGTCTCTGACATTATCAAATGACTTACATGAAAACTTTCTCGTGTTTTTGGAATTTTCTCTTTTTTTCACTCCTCCCCCTGTGAGAGACATGAAAAATTCATTGAGCGGAAAATTTACTCCCGCAACGGAAAAAAAAACGTAACGTCAACTGTGAAAAATTCCCGCAGATACTAATTTCAATCTATTTCATTAATTAGCGGATTTTATTTTTTATTAATTTATTTATAAATTTGGAATTTTGCGGTGGAGTGGGTGGAGATGGGGAGGTGAGGGGGAAGAGGGACTCACGGTTGACAGGGCTTCGCTTATTCTTACCTCTCGACTATCACGTGTCGTATTTCCCCGACCCCAGTTGTGGGACAGGTGCCATTTGTCTGGCTTGACTTGCCTCAAGCTAACTACGCATCCTCCTCCGACAATTCCTAAATCTTCTTCACTATTCACTCAACTTATTCTTCAACTCCCCGTGAATATAAATTCACGAGATAATTAATCTTAAACGTGCATATCACGACCGGGTGTCTGTTGGCCGTTACCATTTCTTCCTCCGTCGATATATTAATCTCCGATGCAGCTAGACACTGTTCAATCGAGCGCGAATACCGATGATTAATCATACCGGGAGTTACGGAGTCACTTTGAGATCAGGGGAAAATCCCCCGCCCTAGTCAGACTGATTTAACTATTTTATTTTATTATCGCACTTCATCCCCGATAAACCATCTTCAATCCGATGTTACTACGCATTATTCGTATATTCAGGGGATGAAATATATCCTCATGCAATTAATACCAGAAATAAATTATAATAAAAATTATAATGTGAGATATATTTTCGGAGGATCCGCGATATACCGGAGATGGTCTCAATTCATGTGACAAATCCGCCGAATATGTCACATATTTTCGGCAAAAAATTTACAATATCACGCATGATTATTAATATTTTTTTTTTTCGTGAGGGGCCGGGAGGGGTGGGGGGAGGAGGAGGGATGGGGAGGAATGATCGGAGTGTTTAGCCGGTACCACCGACAACAGGGAATGTAAGTCGGGTGGATGATACCGGGATATTTGTTCTCCTCTTTAGTTCGCACGAGTGGCGGTTAAAAGGGGTGGATTGGATGTGTAGGGGCGCGGGGGGCTGTTTTTCGGGATTTAGGAGGGGGTAGATGGGTGGCGCGCGCCTCTCTGAAGGGGTGAGAAAGAGAGGGGGAGACAATTCTCCCTCGTGTTGCATTTGTCAGGGGGTGGGGGGATGCTACACCAGGTCAGAACTACATTCGCGCCAAGGAAGTTCAGTCGTGACGCGAACGACACGCGCGATACATATTGGTGGATAACACGTGGTGATTGGTGCCAGTTATCATGATACTCCGGTGTTTATCAGCTGTTTTTTGCTGGTTCGCGATTGTCCCCGTCCGGGGACAATTGACTGGTGAGATTTTTTTTTTTTCTCGATTTTTTCTGTCGGTTGAAATATATGGAATGTTGGATTTTTTAAAAATCTATAGAATATGGTTGATAGATTGTTTTGTATTTTTTTTTGTATTAGGACAGTGTTAGATATTTGCTTTGCGAATGTTTAAAAAAATTTCCAATCTCTTCGCGTTGAAAGGTTTATTTCCATCGGTGAGACCGAATTTATTTGTTAGGGGATTTTATTATTAAAAAATTAACGGGAAAATATTTTGGGGCGTGAGATGAATTTTTTTCTGCAGTTGTAAATGAGTTCAATTTTAAATTATCAGGATTAGCGATTTATTTCGATAATATCGGAGGACTTTTTTATAGTCTATCAACTTGTCAACAGAGGCGTCCTTTTCATATTTTCTCGTAGAGTACAAAACTTAGATAAATTGATACATAATGAAACTGAAAGATTCACAACTTGTCGACTGAATTGTTTATTGACTCAGGAAAAATTCAGAGCGATGTTCGGCTGAATAGTCAAGTCCCGATTAAGAAGTCTAGTAAGCCGAGGGATTCTAATTCCCCAACTGCTGAAAGTCTCATTACCAATTAAATCTCTCTTCTCACAGCTCCAACAGGATTCTGCTAAAAATAGCTCGTCAATTATTTGGAAAATATCTCGACAACGCGTGAACTTGGAGGAAAATGTCATAAGAATTTTTCGTAGCTTGCGAAATTACCTAGAAAAAGTGTCGCATGATTGTGTCTCGTAAAATCAATCGTTCTTGAGATAATTACGTTGAACAATTTCGAGGTGCTGTCGAAACTGCAATAGTGTTTTTTCAAAGAATTTTCTTCCGGAATGAATGGTGCGATTTAATTCTCCTTTCGTTTGTTGAATCCAATTGGTTATCGACAAGTCATTTCCCGGGAAACTTTGGCAAACCTGCCGCTAACTTCATTACTTCGAACAGGACTCTTTATCAGTGCTTCGTACTCCGTCTCTGATACGAGAATTTCTGGGGAAAGATTCGACTGATAAATTTACTGTCCAAACTTATGGATTAATTATAATGCGAATTTTTCATCGAATTTCCCAAAAATTTCTATGGATTATTATTCCGACAATGTCTAATTGAACTTTCCAAAAAAAAGAGAGAATCTCTCTTTTAACAAATAATTTAAGACTGGGAAATTCACTCCATTAATTTTTGCGATAATTTATTTTTCGTCTCGTTGTGATGATTGATGTCGATCAGTATTTTTTTTTCGAGAACTCTTTACTTGAATATCACTTTCCAATGTAACCCTATCTCACCCTTCGTAACTGCTGGTCTCGGTGGGATGTGCCATAATGTTTTTCGACATCATGCAATCGTGTTTTATTACATGGGTATATACCATTGATGGCTATGTGTTAGACAAGTTTGCTTATGGACTTTGAATGTGACGAGGGTTATATCCAGTAAACAAGATGCATAATTTCTTATATAAGTTCAGTCAACTGAAGCCTAGAGTTCAATGTATGGTAGTTTACAAGTACTAAAGTTGTAATTGAATTTCTCATTCAAAGAAGGAATTTTAATTGCATTCACGAAAAAAAAAGACTTCAAAAAATATTCAATATTTAATATTATATCTTTATCATACAAACTTCATTAATTATTAATTTATGAATTCAGAATTATGATTCTAAGGAAATGAATAGCCCTCTGAAAGAGATGCAAATATTTTCCACAATTACTACAATTTTTTTCCAAACGAATCATCCTCCCTCTCCCCCCAATTTCACCCCAACAAATTGATAAATTCACGCGCTAATCACCCCCTCCAAGCGAGCGATAGAGCGATAAACGACGAATTACCGCAAATGGACATTACGACCGCTACAAAAACATTTACGATCCTTCGGGCAATTGAACTTGCAACGAGAAAAAATAAAGTACATATACCCGGACAACGTAAATGCGTAAAAATACATGAGGGGGAGGGTTGAGGTGGGGACGGTGATAGGAGGGTAATGGTCACATAGGGCAGGTGATCCTGAGGTGGGAGGTGAGGTGGAGAAATATTTCTGGGTGAACCTGGGATTTTTACAATGTTTTTCCATCGATATCTGCGCATGTCGTTGTTGCGAATATACCGAGGGGTGGGTGGGCATTCGGGTGGGTGGCAGGGGGTGTTCAAGGGGAGGTTGAGAGGTGGTAGAGTAACTTGAGAGCGTGCACTATCGCGCTACTTCGACGCTTCGTTGAATGGTAAACGATCAACATTCTTGGATGGGAGAGCACTTGAAGAGGTAATTGCATTCGTATTCTAGACGATAGTGAGTGCCACTGGTATTGCAAACTGTTGGTACTTGTGATAGGTATTTTAAAGATAATCGTGTTTGTTTTGAGTTTGAGTTATCGCTTTTGGGGTCACCGATACCACCGGTCACTCAAAAATTCATAGAAAAGCCTCACGAGTATTGAAAAAAAAATAAATATGGATTTACAATAAAAATCCATCACTCATATATTCGAGAAGAATAAAAATGTTCAATCCACCCGGATGTGGTAATTCCCTCGAAAATTTAGTTGTGGAAATTGTTCACCTCAAAAACCATCGACACCATCTGCCATTCGACCTAGAAACTCGATCCTTCTAATTGTTACCAGTCGATCAGTTCGCGCAATCGATCAATATCCCCCACCCACCCACCACCCACGAAAGATGGAGAATTCACCGCTGGTATAACACAAACGACATTTTCTCGAGACACCAGTGGCATCTGTATAACTTGAACTTAGTTCTACCGCCTCAAATCCTTCTTTATCACTCCCTCTCTCATCCAACAACCACCCACCCACTCCTCCACCCAGTGACTCCACCAAAGCACTGGAGAAACCCCAGGACACGTACATACAATATGTACCTCAAGTATTTCACATGAAATTCGAAATGCTGTCCCAAAAGATTTGAATACATCTACAGACGAATGGTAACCAGAACTGATATCGATTCCCATTGCAAAATAGACGAGACGAGACGACGTAAAGGGGGCGAGGGGGAGGGGCTGATAGTGGGTGGGTTGGGTGGATGGATTGAAACGGTGGCACGCGATCGAAAACACGTAGGTAACAGCGTACACACGACTCTTATGTCAAACAGTCCTTCTCCTTGCCACCTCTATATTCAAAACTTCCCGGGAGATTTTTATGTGTGACCCCCCGACCCCCGCGGACTATTTTATCGAGAGGGGCCGAGCCCTCCTTCCGCTGTCGGCTGAACATTCGATATTGTGAATGGATTTGATGGGATGATTGGAGTGACTCGCGTACGTGATTATCGTTGTCAATGATATTGGATATTGGGGGGTGGCAGGGGGAGGAGGGGGCGGGTGGTTGCTGTTTACGAGGGATTCTCCATCGAAACTGACGGGCTTTCAATAATTTATTAGATTTGGGCGGGTATTTTTGAATGGATATGCTGGGGTTTAAGATTTTTTATTTATTGGCCCGGGTAAAAAAAAATGGCAATCGGAATATTTGTTCCAAATTTTCCAAAAATTTCTGGAAAACTTTTCAGAATTTTTTTTTTTTTAAATAAAAAAAATCGGGAAGCAAAATAAAAGTTTTTCAAAAATTTGTTGCGGACAAATTTTTTTATAATTTTCCAGAAATTTTTGAACGAACATAATTTTTTTTCCATATATTGTTTTCTTACTTTTTTAATTTCTCAATATTCTCAAAAAATACGCCATCTAAATTATAAAAAAAATTTTCCTATTCAAATTTTGGAAAAATTTTTCAAAACCTTTCCCAAAAATAAAATTATTTTGTTTATTTAAATTATTTTGAAAAGTCTTCCAGAAATTTTTTGAAAATTTAGAAAAAATATTCTGATTACATTTTTTTTTTATCCAGGGGGAGAAATAAATGAATTTTAGTTGAGGGAATGTGACTGATTTATTTATTTCGGCTTGATCCGGTGAATGAATAATGTTGATTATTTTATTTTGAGACGTTGAGAGGTGCTTTGAGGCCCTTGGCAAGTTGGTAAGACTCATGACTCGCAGATTTAATCGTTTTCCATTAATGTCAGAGCGCAAGTTCTCATTGTTCTCATTGTCTTCTTCGTACAATACAGTCGTTTGTATCAGGATCATTCAATTGAAAAGCCTCGAGGATTCAATGCGACGATAAACAGAATTCAGAGTGCAATGGAATAAAGAATCAGTCGACGATTGGGAAATAGAAATTGTGGGGCAATTTAGGGGATTTAATTCGGACAATTATTTCGCTCTAATTTCGATTGCCATCGATGCGCGACGGCTTGATGATTAATTACCAGAAACAATCATACGGTGATGCAATTATACCTAAATGTTGAATGGAAAATATTGTCCGATGTTTAGTATGTTAATTTGCTTTTATTATTCAATTATTTCATGCTGAGATAATGATACAACCGAGTCATGCTCATTGCACACGAGTTGCAGCGGTTTATTACCGAGTTGAAGCTTTGCACTTGTAATTAGTGATATTCACAATAGATATCGTCTCGTCACTCGCCCAATTTTTTTAATCCACCGCACAATGAATTCTAGTCACCGATTGACCTAGGGCTGATGGAAAATGGATAATCAAGGGAATTAATTGATTAATTCAGGTGAAAAGCTTTTCCGAGAATTTTTTTTATATTCCGAGAATTATTCAGTGATGGGAGAGAAGTAAAGTCAGACAACTCAACTTCGACGTTTTTATTAATCATTCAATGAAAAAAAGGATTTAACCTGAAAATCATTCATTTTTTATGAATTTTTCTGGAATAATCAAGGGAAATTTCCAGTTGTCGTTGAATTTTTTGATACAATTTGCAGGAGGGTTTTGAAATTTTGTTTAAACAATGAGATACAGTCTCAGATAGATGGATACTCTATTCTCCATCTACCAGTCGATGATTTGATTCAGTTTTATGAGTTCCACTGGGACAAATCGTTTTACCATTCCACTTCTTCTTTTTTTTTTCAACGTTTACTTT